ATTGCACTGATCATAAATGAGGGAAACAGGGTTACACCGGAGGCAGACAGACAGGACTTTGCTATGCTCCACAATTCTAGTGGATTATGGAAAAGTGCCATAGTAAAGTGGGGAGAGGCAAATTCAGTCCCAGAGCCAAATTCCAGCATAGCCTAGAACTAAAGCCAAGCCTGCATGAGGGTTGCCTTAAAGTTGAACCTAACTTGGCGTAGGCTTAGTCCCTGTAAGACGGACCCGAGCCACAGAGGTTGGATCTGCCCTGTGGCTCATCCAGGAGTTTTAGCAGGGGATAATTCTGGATGGAGTCAGGTTTTTGGCTGCAATCTCCCAGTACATGATGCTGAACAATCCTTTTGAAGCAATCTGTGAGGACTCCCTTTGTTGAATATGACATTCAAATATTGAGAAATTTCCCAGGGCACAAAAGCTGTTCTGCTGTTCCAAATCCAGTGTTTGACAAAGGGGACACTGAACTAGCAGCTGGGACTTGAGCCCTGTAATTCAGACATCAGTGGGCACTTATATATGATATGTGTTTAGATACACGTTACGAAATGGCACCAAAAATCGCTGGCTGTAATATATGCAGGCTCCAAAACTTTTTACAGTGTGTAATTCCTATCATTGCAGTATTGATAGAGATGTACAGGTTCATATTTGTCAGAAAACATAATGCCTTGGTACGCATAAGGCTTGGAAAAGGGATTTGTACAACTTGAGTCCAAAAATTGAAGATATGGGTGTTGTAGAGCAAAGTACCAGGAAGGGGTGGTGGGACACAGAGGGTAAACAGGGGGTTCCAGGCATACAAGATGGCGTGGGAGAGAGACATCATGGATTTCAAAGGACATAAGAAGAGGGTGAGAAGCAAGCTGAAAGCAAGCAAATGCACAAGGCTCCCATTGCTCTAGCAGTGCTCACTTCATCTGAGCTTGACCCCTAGAGCTCTGGGGCAGGGCACAGCAGTTCTTGGGTACAAAGATCCAAGGTGTTGTCCCCTTTAAAAGCAGCAGCCTGTCTTTCAAGCAGATGGGAAGGAGCCAGGCCTGGTGCTGGGTGCACAATGACCCTATTCTGCCCTGTGGGGGTAGGGTGATGTTAGGCAGTCCCAGTGGATGGGAGCAGGGTTCCACTGCGCTGTGGACGGAAAGAGCATTCGCAAGTCTCCCCTTTCAGCTCCAGTTATGCTGCTTGCTGGAAACAAAGGAGCCTGTGGGCTGCTCTGGTCCCCAGCTCCCCACGAGGTGCTGCCAGCAAAGGGATGGTTTGTTTCCTCTGAACAAAACCCTGTCTTCATGCTTCTTAGTCAGCTTGCACTGCAGGAGCAGCCATAGTCCCTCCTCCCTGTGCAGGTCTACAGGCAGCTCCCAGGCCAGGTCTGGGCTGAATCGTTCGTGAACTGGGGCCATGCCAGTCAAACACAGGCCTGGAAGAGGCAACTTTCAGCTCATGATCTCAACCAGTCCCCAGCAGGAAAAGGCGGGGAAGGATTTTACACTAACCTCCCTGCAAGCATGTCTTGTTTCAGGTAAGGCAGGTCTAACGACTGAGCCAGAAAACTTTGCAGCGCCAACAGTGCTGGTCTATGAAATGTGTGGGTACAAGGATGCAGGGTCACGAAAAGAGACATGCTGTGATTGTTAGGAACATAAAGGGGACTGTTTTATGAGGCTTCAGGGCACAGACAGATCCTATAGTTCTCTTGAGGTGCCTGATATCACCACGTGAGGTCCTGGCCTGGACTTATCTATTATGGAAGGGACTTCTGACTATGCAGTAGGGCAAATTGCAAGAGGACCATTTAGAAGGGAAAGGGTAATATGTAATGATAAACAATTGATTTAAAGCATCTATATGTAGCAAGAGAGCAAATGATTAGATCCCAAGGATAGAAACAGTGTCAGTGCATAGGTGGCACTCAGTGTCTACCCTACATGACACGTAAACAGTTGGTGCCTGGCTGAGACTTATACCTAGATGAAGAGGAACTGGTTAAAGCTGAACCTGGTGGCTAGGCACAGACATTCAAAAAGCCTGAGCCTGAATTGATTCAGTTTTTGCAGGTTAGTCTAACCTGGCTAGGCTGAACCAGTTTGTAACTGGATAGACATTCTCTCTGAACTGAGGAAATTCAGCGACATGCCTGCAGTGGCTCAGGCTAGAAGCTAGGGGGCACTAGAGCAACCCTCCCTTCTCTTGCACAGTGCTGAGCTGGGGGTGTATAGCCAGGCCTGGGCAGGATGTTCTGATTAAGGAGATCTGTCTGCACCATCCCAGGCTTTTCTACCCGCTGCTTAAGCCCCCATCCCCCTGCTAGCACTCTGAGGCAAGGGGGGAGGGTGCAGTGCATGCAGCTGTTGATGATATGGAGCTTTTCAATTTCCCTCCCTGCTTCTTTATACTGTCTGCAGCAAACTGACCCAGGAGCAAGCCAGCAGGGGGCTGATAACAATGCTCATCACCCAATCAGCAAAAACAATAGCCTCTCTCTATTACTTCAAACTCTTCTTAAACAGCTTACCAGCTGACCTGTTGATTCACTCCAAACAGCCCCCTGTTCTCTCTGCCTGTCCCAGTTAAATTGGCCACACACACACACACACACACACACACACACACACACACCCTGCTTTAGCTAGCATACCACATGCCTAGGGTCCAGGGGGCTGGGGTCCTTGTTGTGGGACATGGGAGGGAGGGGAAGGATTTCCTGCATGAGCAGTGAGGTCAGGGTAGGGCAGGGCGAAGCCAGGCAGACCCTGCTGTGTCTGCAAGTCTCTGCCAGAGCTCCAGCCAGGGAGCTCTGCTTTGGAGCAGAGAGCCCAGCCCAGCCCAGAGAGCATGTTGGGATGCTGGGGGTGTCTGGTTTATTTTAAACCAGCAAGGGGTCTGGGACAGACACTGGTTAAACCTGTTTGAACCAAATCAGTTAAATCTGATACTACATTCAACCAGGTTTATCTCAAATCAGTTTCAGTCATTTTCAGACTGGTTTATGTGCACTGAACATCTGTTCTGTTACAGGTTTAAACCAGTTTCTGATCACTTACACTGGTTTATGTGTAATGTCTGTCCCTAGCCAGTAAGTCTGAGGCAATGCTGGTAGGAGGAGGGAAGCTCTGTGAAGACTTCCCCTCTCCTACTCCAACCCCTAATTTTGAGGGCACTGGCCTGCTGGCTGCAAATTCAGTTGTTCTCTTGAGATCCTTCCAGATCCTCTGTGCTACTGGCTCCCCAAATACCAGGGCAGCACAAAATGCCAGCACTTCCCTCTGTGCCTGGCCAAACTACCACATCCCATCCTGTTAGACCCAGTCCTGGCCACAGTGAACTGCACAATTGGAATCTCCCAGCTCATCTGTTGCCAGCTAATCTCAGATAATCTCTTTGGTTTAGGCTCCCCACAGTATCTCTTCACACACCAGCTTTGATTTCAGAGGCATGAAAAGATGTGTTTTCACTACAGGATAACTAAAGCAGAAATTTAGTCAAGTCAGTCATAATGTAGGTGTAGTGCAGGCCTGTTTCATGAAGATTTAAAGTGGGAAGGCTAGTGTATGTTCATTATCCACAGTAAAAATAACCAGCCTTTTTTGTAGTGAAGACAGCCACAGACAACATGAACTACAGTCCGCTTTGCTTGCCCTACCACACTCCTAAAATAATTCCATGGTCTTTCAAAAAACACAGGAGAGTTTGCCCCTGTGATTGCTACTGTGATTTGAATGACCTGAGAAGGACTAAGATACTGAAGTGATTAAGGCCATAAAGGTCTAGCTAAATAAATTGATAAAATGGAGTTGGGGATTAGTGAAAGGGAAAAGTTGACTGAGGAGCAAGAGGGATGTGTGATATGATGGAAAAGGAGGGGGCAGTCTGAGCAGGATTGCTGTGAAATGGCAAGCTGTCACTCAGTGAGAGAATGGGGCTGAGCAGGAACTAATTATGCTGTGAACAGTATCTTGTATAGATCAGGCTAAGTCTCAGAGTTCAGGTCCAAATCTCAGCTCCTCTTAAGATGAAAGCAGCAAGATTGCCCCTGCTCACCTCACTTTTCTAGGCAACAGCTCGGCCTCACATTTTGTGAATCTGTGCCCTGGAGGTAACATTTGGTGCCAGTCGGGGGAGGTTCAAATGCTCACACTGGGCCATATCCAAAGCTTACTGAAATCACAAGAAAGACTCCTATTAACTTCCAGGGGCTTTTTTTGAGTAGCCTCCTACATGGTCTGAATTCACTTCATATCCCTTGGCAAATAAAAATCCCTTCCTGGCCAATGGATCATTGCAGGGTAGAGGCACACCTTATAACCTAACTAAATCTGACATTTATGTTTTAATGAGAAGCTACAGACAGGTTTTCTGTCTCCCTCTTCTCAAATCCTGCTGGCTAGAACTCACCTTGATTTCTTTCCCCTCCCACTGTTTATCTCAGCTGTTCTATAAACTTCACCCTTGCTCATTGCTGCTCCTGGAGGTGGGAGCCTGCAGACATCCCAGCCATGCAGTGCTGTCTGCCTTTGGTGAATTAAGGTTGGGGCTTCCCCCATAAGCCAGCAGTGGGAACACTTCCTGTAGTCAAATGGGACCTGATCCCAAAGCTGGTCACTCCACAATGAAGCCCCTACTCCACAATGAGCCTGCCTTGAGCTCCCAATCATGGCTGTTTCAGTTATGTGCATTGGTCCCTGGGCTCCTGTTGCAGTTGGTTGGCTGGGGAGCGCTGGATTTTTCTGCACTTAGCAGGAGAGGCGGGGAAGGCGTGCAAGGTCCTGATGACAATGTCTTTGTTGATGTCAGTGCTGCAGATGGATACAAACAGTTCTCTTGTTCACCACCCTGGAAGGGAGGGTTGTGAATGAGCTCTCTGTGCTGCCTTGAAGTGGGAGGAGAGATGGAGACAGGGAGCTAGCTAGGGTGGCAGTGAAAGCTCACTCCCCGAACATTTTCTCTCTGGGACCTGGTGGGAGTTTCCAGTCCTAGCTCCGCACCTGGGAGGAGAGATCTCAGAGATAGCTAGCACGCATAGGAAGAAAACATCTCCCCTGACGCTCCAGAATCTCAAGCTGGCAGCATGGCCCAGGCATGGAGAGAATGTCATAGGGAAGGCAGTAGTGACTTCTAGAGAGGGACAATCTGCCTTGTAAGAGCTGGCACTGTTTGAACTGCCCAGGGGGCGACTATTCCATGTCGGAGCAGCACCCCAAAGCCATTTCTGTGCAGTCTGATCCGACTGTGCCCTGGAGAGGAGAGAAGCGGAAGAGGAAGGTTTGCAGAGAACTTAAGCGAAGAAAAAGGTGAAGCTTGGGGAAATTTGATGGGAGATTTGCTGCAGAGGGGAATGTGTTTCAGTGTGTGTATGTGCATCTGTGCAGGGCAGGTGGTATGCGTGCGTGCAGAGAATTCTGTTCATGAATAGTCAAACAAGGGCATTGGGTTGTTTGAAAATCAGGGACTGTGTACATGTGACTACTAGTGGGTTGGTTTGGAGGAGAAAGAGGGGCTGTGTGTAAGTGAGAGTGTTTGTTGTGGGGCAAGGGTGAGCCCGTATAGCTATAGCACAGTGTGTCTGAATGTGTTTGTCTAAAATGGGGTAGTAGAGTTTCTGCGTGCATGTGTGAGGGATAGAGCTTGTCTTTAGGAGTGCAGAAATAGCTGACACTGTAAGAGAAATTTAGTGTATCTGTAGGGCAGTTGTGGAATAGAAATTTTGTATGGGTGTTGAGGGGAGAGGCATGTGCAGGGTAACTGAAAGCCCTTGTATTCCTCTTAGATATGTAACCATATGCAGGTGAATGTCATTAAGGGCAGACTTTCTGGGGGGACTGTTGGAGAAGCAGTATCTGTAGGGGTGGACAGGAGCTGCTGGAGCAATGCTGTCGTTGGAGGTTGCTGTGGGACTATGCTTTCTTCAGGGAAATAGCAGTCTGAGGGAGAGAGAGGGTGTTGGGGATACCTTCTCTACGATGGGCCACTGTTATACTCTACTTAGGGGTTTGAAATATCCATAGTAAAACTGACAGCCAAGCACACTCCAGCTAACAGGGGAGCCACAGGGAACAGGTGCTTCTCTTTACTTCCTTGCCTCTGGGATGCATTAATTATTAATCCACTCATCTAAAGCAAAGTCAATACTGAGGCTGGGCCAAGAAAGGCAATCACCAGAGTGTTTGCTAAAAAAATCCCAAAGGACCTCAAACTTGGAGGAAGGAGGAAACTCCCACCAGCATCCCTGGGAACAGGGGGAAGGCTGTACCCTGTTCAGTGTAAATGGATTTGGGATTAGAGAACTTTCCTGCAGACGAATTGCTGTCCTGAACAGTCTAACTGCTAACTGGGATGGGGCACAGCAGGATAGTTTAGTCTCTGTAAATCCTGGGACTTTTGGAGCTGAAGATCTGATTTTCTCTTCAGATGTCACCATTAACTCTATTATAGTTTGGATATAGCATCATCTTCCAATGTTTGTGGCCAAGCCTAGGAGGAGGGGAAATGTGAAACTCACTGTTATGTTTTCACTGGCTTTAGCAAGTGTAAGGTAAATTGTAAATAAACCAAGTAAGGGCAAATGAATTTGAAACTGAGAAAGTTTTGCTGTGAAATGCAGCCATATAACAAAGACCTCCTGCCCACTTAACCAGTCTGTTCCCTAAATGATTCAGACTTACATTTGCTGACTTCAGTGGAAGAAAGAATTTTTGGACCTTGTGTTGCATTTTAGTTCCACAAAGCTACACAATTCTAGTTCATGCATTATCAACTGCAACTGGGTTTTAGTCACAGAATTAGCTATTTGGTTACTGAAAACAAAGGTGTCACTGAGGATGTAATCTGGTCTAAAGGATTTTAATTAGTAATGAACAGGGAGGAAACAGCCCAACTTCATTCCCAGATCTCAGGCCCCATTTGCACGGCTGAGAGTCAGAAACTGAAATTCTGATACTGAGAGGTACTAAAAACACGATACGTCACAGTACCCAGTATAGGGACCCTTCTCTGAGAAGACTATTAGTGGCAGAAGGAAGATGCCTGATGTAGACACTAACCTTGACAATACCTTGCACCTCTGATGTTTTGCTTTCTAATCTGTCAGTGTTTTGCAGTCCCTCTGTAAGAAAGTGGGAAGGAGTAAATTTTCCATGGCATCCAGTCCATTGATGTCATAGTCCATTTGTGCTCTCTTCGCTCACTTCAAAGCTACTGGTCAGGAACAACAAGGCTCTATGCCTGGTTCAGACACACTAATGTGCATCATTTTAAATATACAGGTGTGTTTTAGGATGAATCAGTTTAGCAAAGCCCTTTGTAAATACACTTGTACGGATTTAAATTTGTCTTACCTCAGTTTAATGTAATTTGGTTTTCAACTGACTTGGTCACCATCAGCCATTTTTAAACTTAAGAATGTGCATATGGCTTTGTCCTGTATTAACTTACATTGTTTAGAACCTGATTCAGTTAAACAAGTGCAACTTTATGTGTAGATAATGACCGTAATGAGGGTAGCTAGACTACTGGGACCTTTGCACAGGAGGCTGCATACGTGTGGGGCAGCATTTAATGGTTGCTGAAGTTGCTTTCTTTCTACTGCTGAAAAGAGTGATTTATCCTTGTTTAGCAACAGAAAATCTTCTGCTTGCTCAAGGCTCTTTCTGTTCACCTAGATAGTTTCTGCGTAGCAATGGAGACACCGTTATGGACACTCATGCAGTGCTGGTGACTTTTTCCAAGCCACTTTGTTTCTTCAAAGAAAGTCTCAGTGTTCCCAAACCAAGCTGTAATAGCAGTCCCTTAAATTCCGGTAGCATTCCTAGAGCCCTTTACAGACTACAGTATATAAGGAAGTCCTTCCCCCACCACTGGGTGACGGTAAGGAGCAGTATGTTGATGGAGTTGCTATTTTTTGGCTGAGCTGTAAAACCAAAGTCCAGACTGTTAGTGGGCTTTAAAGGTTCCATCTCACACGATAACCTTTGTCCGGGCCAGTTTCCAGCTCCAGCGTTGTTATATTCTACTGTCCTGTAAGATTCCTCTGAAATCTTGACAGAATATAGGATTTTATATCTCAAATTGTTGTTTAGTACTTTGGGAGTCTGTTAGTCAGCTGCCATGTTCCACCCCAGAGGTGGCTACATGTCAGTGCTGAGTGAAGTGATCCCTTTTTTGTGCTCCTTGAGGAGAAAAGGTGCTATGAGAACTTAGACAGTCATCCTGCCATTACTGCCATACTTGAACATAACTAAAGGGAATGTTCCCTAGAGAGACTATTCATCTTAATTCTCTTCTCTACTAGATCCATCCATTGACAGTTGCCTTGAGAGTAGGGTTTGAGGGTCCTTTGGTGCATCTCAGTGGGCCATAGGGAGAGTCAACTGGTTGCCTGATGCAATAACACTGAGCCTGAATCTGTGAGGTTTGCTCAGTGTTGGGGTGTTATACTTTCAAGCTGTAAGACAAGGGGCAATCATCTATAGTGAAGCTACTCCAGGGACAACTTCCTCATTTACCATGTGGATTCCTAATGCTGCCATTCCTTAGTATCTGAGTCATTTTTTATATCCTGTAGCCTCCCTCTGCCTGTGATGGGGCTGAAACCCAAAGGTGTTAAATGGTGATGAATCCAGTGGCAAATGGGATGTGTCTCTCTCTTATGCCCCAGAGAAGACCATCTTTCCTGCAGCAAGCCTAAGAAACCCGAGGTCATTCTCCTCACCCTCAGGGCCATTCTGCCAGATGAGGAGTTCTGATAAAACATCAACTTTGTCCTGAATGACTCTGAAGAAGCAGTTCATTATAAAGGTTATAGCTGCTGCTGCCAGGCTGATGGTAATGTGTTCAGCTTTCCAAACCTCAGGCTCAGGTACAAAAGCTGTCAGTATTATTCAAGGAAGGGCAGAAGGGCAGCAGAAGGGGCATGGGTGAGAGCAGTAGCCTTGTGGGAGGTCTATCTCAGCAGACAATGTCAATAGAGGAGCTGCCCCCCACATCTCCTCCCCTCGCCTTTAGTTGGTATCCAGTTCCAAACTATTTCTATGGGCCAGTCTCAGTGGAAAAGAAGCAGATGGCTGTACTGGAGACACTGAGCTGCAGTGTCGGGTGTCAGGGATAAGGGCGTCCTGTTACCAGCCTCTGTCCTCAACATCAGGATCTATTTACATTTTCCATTCATTATTCATTGAAATGGGAATCTCAGCTGCATAATGCCATCAGCACGGAGCAGCACCCAGCCCTCTTCCCTCCTTTAACAGAGAAAATGAAAAAGAGAGACAGACATCTTAAATGATGGGAATCTCAAATGATATAGTCAGGGTACTGCTGAGAGGAAGGTCACCTGGCAAAGCCCCTGCTGATACAGGCAGGGCACTACTGTTGGAAGCTTACATAGGTGGAAAAAGTTACTGGATTAGAAGATGAGGGGGTTTTCCTCCATTTAACGTCACCTTACAATTGAGTACAAGGAAGCATGGGCTGGGGCTGGGGCCAGGCTAGAACAGCAGTGCTGGCTCTGTGCCACTTCTACAGGGTGGGTTGGAGCCATGCTCTGTGCCCTGGGCTGCAGCAGGTATGGAGCCTGCCATTGTGAAGCAAAGGTAAGGTGGGTGGGGAGAGGAGAGGGGTTGAGGGGCAGACAAGAGTGGAGAGATTTCGGAGGGGGAGATGGCAGAAAGGGGGGCAGGGACCTGAGGCTGCAGGTGGCAGAAGTGGTGTGGAGAAGGGAGGAGGGGGGAAACGGGAAGGAGGAATTGGGGCAACCTGAGGCTGCAAAGGAGGTAGACACAATAGTGGGGAAAGGGGACAGGGGACAGGCAGTAGGAGGCAAGTTGCCTGTCTCTCTGACCATTTGCCCCACCGCTTCCACACTACCTGCCCCATTACTGCCCCCTGCCTGCCCTACTACATGCTCCCCTACTGCCTCTCCCACTGTCTGTCCCCCAGCACCACCATCTGTCCCCCACCATTACTGACCCCCTCATCACCTCTCCCCCCAAACCTGCAGTAGTTGGGGGGGATGATGACACATTTAAGATGATCCTTCAATAATTAGATTTTATACATGGAAAATTATAATAAATGTCTATTTTTTTGTGTGTAGAATTTAATTATTATGGGGTTGTCTTACATTCAGCATCATCTTATATGTGGATAAATATGGTATTGTCCTTGACAACATCCTTAAAGATAACTCATAACAAATTTTAAATATTGGAGCTGTGCTCTTTTTTGTTTCTGTGTGATGGAGAAAGAGGAGCCTGGGGTTCTTGTTTGGTTTTTACTGGTTTTTTTTTAATTCTATACC